TCATAACAGAGCTAGCATGTAATCAATAGAATTTCAAATTTAATCCTATGCTATTAAGACATTTTATTGCTACCAGTTGTTGAGTTCCTGTGCACACTTTTGTCAAACCTAGACATACACAATATCATGAACTCATCAATACAACTGCTGTTTTACAAATGTAAATAAAGACTGCAGGGCCAGCCCGTGGCATGGTGGTTAGGATGGCTGGATCCCACATACTGACTATGTGGTTCAAGTCCCAGACCCAGTGGCCTGAGAATCACACCAGGCGCATGTACATGCATGCCCCAGATCCTGAGTGAATGAAGGAAAAGGGATTTCTGTGTTGCTGTCCCTCCTCCCCCAGTGGGAAGTGCGTTCTCACTTCCCATCCCCCGTCTCTCTCTGGTGAACGCATCACTCTATAGCTAGCTAGTTATAAATAATAGCTATTCATTATAGATAAAGGAGTAAATAAAGCAAGCAAGCATATCCAAGCCTTTGAGATACTCATTTGTTAAAAGCAAGCATCTAAAGAAATTCTCTTCCTTGAATTTGTAAGGAAGGGGTTATGGCTCAAGTTCTTTACTAATGAAGGAGAAAGTAAAACGTCCTAAGATAGGAGTAAAACAATCCCCTCTATCATTCAAAAATGATTTCATAATGCATCGATTAATTTTAGACATGGTCTCCCTAGAATGTTTAAATTTCATGTGGAAAAAGATAAATAAAACTGACAAAAATCAAGTCCAAGATCCTATTTTTTTTTTATTTTTATTTTTTAGAGAGAGAGATTTTTGCTATAGGGCATGTGCACTTACTGGAGAGACAGAGACACAGATACAGAAAGCGAGAAATCACCCCCCAGGAGGGATGGCCATGCCACAATCCCTTCTCCTCCATTCTCCTCCTGGGACCTTGGGCATGCACGCACATGTGCCCAGCTCGAGTTTTAAGCTGCCAGGTCCAGGACTTGAACCACAGTCGACTATGTGGGAGTCTAGCAATTAACCATTACACCACCTGCTGGTCCCTTAAGATCCTTATTTTATGCATACTAGGTTTGAGGGGTAAACCATATTGGAAAAGTCACGTAACATTGGTCATTTCTACTGAGGATAACTATAGAACTGCCGGAGAGCCCAAGAAAACGAAGCTGTCTCTGTGGTGTGGGGTGTAGGGACGCGCACCAGGTGGCAGAATGGAATCTTGGCTCCATTGCACACTGGGACCTCATGCTACTTACTTCCCAGGAGCCTCAGTTTCCTCATCTGTAAAATGGGGCCAACAATAGCACGTTCTCCAGGCTAATGTGAGGGTTAACTGTAAAGCACTTTTCCACAGGAGCTGAGATACAGGAACAACTCAGGAACATTAGCTGTTGCTGCTGTGTGGGAAAATACAGCCTTCCAATCAGTGACCTTAGGGTTGATTTTTCTATCACACGATGGCTAGGAATAGGTGGCTTTCCCCAGGAGTATGCTGGTAAATCATTAAAAACCCTATTTCCCTCCCTCAGCCAGGAAACTGATGGCAGCCCTGGCCTCTATGTATATGAGAATTCGTGAGAAGTGGAGGAGACGTGGAGTCCTCCTGCCCACAGGGCAGTGAATTCCCTTATGTCACCGCGTTATCAGGGCTAGGGCTTCGTTCTCTGCCTCAGTAGGTCTCTTCAGGGCTCAAGCTTTCATGTGTTGAAATTCACCATCTGGTGTGAAAATCTTGTTTAGACCTTAGGCTACACGTCCATCCATAAAAGTGCGGTAGGTAAGATTGGAAAAAGAACATCATTCAGCTTTTTATGAAAGGGGACAGTGGTTCTTTCTGTCCATATGGAGAAAAACTCCTTACTCAGACGATTCTCCTATATTGGAGGTTTATAAAGGAGCAAGAGGTGGATTCTTTTATATGGAGACTGGTCCTTAGCACGTGAAAATTACTAGGCTGTGTTCCTATGAGATGTTTTCTGTTTTGTTTCTTAAGATTTTTTTGCCATAGGGTACGTGAGCTCGCTGGTGAGGAGGAAAGTGAGAAATCACCCCCCCCAGGGGAGGGAAGGCCATACCACAATCCCTTATCCTCCATTTTCCTCTCAGGATTTTGGGCATGCACACACGTGCTCAGTGCGATTTTCAAGTCACCGGGTCTGGGACTTGAGTCATGTGCCATGTGGGAATCCAGAGCCTCAACCACTACACCACATACTGGTCCCTGTGTTTCTGAGATCTGAAGGGGTGGGAGGAGATAGGGAGGGATAAAAGATCTGAGGCGGCAGCCGCTTCATGCTGACAGAAGGGAAGTGAGGATTTCTTCGGTTAGAAATGATTAAACCCTGAGAACAATGGAAGCAGTTTCCTTAAAAACATCAGCAGGCATGTTTCAGTTGGTCCCATTAGGAAAAGAACCAGGTGGATACAACTTGTGTTTTGTGTTCCCACATGCTTTGATTATTCCGGGGGCATTGCTCTGTCTCCCACGTGTGCTATCAGCTGAGCTCAGAGAGCATGTGGCATGGACTCTACTTATACCGGCCTGGCTCAGCCCTTCCCCCGAGCCCATGCTCGCCAAGCAAGTGACACAGGGAGCCTGCCATCTAGGGCTGGGCCTGGACACCTGTGAAGCACAAACTCCTTGACCATGGACTTCTCCTAATGGACCCCAGTGTTAGCTGCCTCGCCCATCCAGCCCTTCTGCCTCTGCTTTCAGCCGAGCTCTCCAGGTCCCCAATGGGTCCAGAGATGCCCTACTCCGAGAGTGGCCAGCACACCAGGACTGGTCTGTGATGAGTATGGAAAGTAAAGGCTGCCATTTAGAAACGTGCATACTAGCTCGGCTGTGCTGTGACACGCAAGCACCTGATTCTGTATCTGTCCACAATGAGTTGAGGAAAAAGGGTCCATCTCCTCAGATACGGTCTACCACACTGTGTGGGAGCTCGGGCCACTGTAGGCCAGCCCCGTAGCTGAGAGAATACACTTTGGGTGTGGCCTGACCTGGGTTCAGACACTGGTGAGAGTACCTTCTAGAAGTTGATTTGACCTTGGATGAACACTTCACCTTTCTGAGCCCAAGTTTCTTTGGGGACAATGAAGGTCCTAATGAATTTGCTGTAACTGTGCACGACAATCTGTCCGCATTCTGTATGAGCAGAGGACTACACAATCATATACAAGAACTCATCTGGCGTTCAAAGTACCTTCTGCAGTGGCTATTAACGACACGCTGCTTTACAGCTGGGAGGACCAAAGCACAGAGAGGTTAAATAAGCTGGTCCAAGCTTGACCAGTGAGTGGCAAACTGGGGTTCAAATCCCAGTGCCTGACTCCAGCCCTGAGCACTCTGCCAGTCAGCTTGCCTCCTCGTGCTGCACAGGCTCAGATGAGCAATGTACCCTTGTGACCCCCGTGACCTTGACTGCGAGCTGTGGCTCAGCTGCCAGCACCAGATCAGCTGGGGCCCGCCCTGAGCAGACTGTTGCCTGCAGCTGTGTCTGGAATGCCCTGCTGGGCCGCTTGCTGGCACTGCCTAGAAGCTCGTGCTGCCACTACCCTCTGTCCCTGTCCTCAACTAGGGTAGAATCGCAGTGCTGGCACGAATGTTCTTTGCCACAGTCCTCTGAACATCTGGCTGTCAGCCAGGCCCCAGCTCGGGGCTGGCCCCACCGCTATGCTCCCGTTCACTACCAGCCCGGGAGCCCCCCGTTTTAGGTGGGCTCCACTGATACAGGCTTTCAGGTTCTGGTACACAAAAGGTAGGCTCAGAGAGATGTAAACCTTGGCTACTGTAGTTCAGTGGCTTTAACCCCCCCCCGCCATTGTCCTTTACAGACTCCAGTGTGTGAACAGGCAAGGTGGAGCTTGTCTGCCCCAGAGTGGGAGTGGGGCCCGCAGCCCTGCTGTTTGGTGTCCTGCCTTATCACAGCCTCCACTCCAAGGTTCCCACTGCGCCGCTGGGAAATCCCGGGCTTTGGAGGAACACCCTGAAAGGTATTTAAAAAAATCTTTCTGAACATTCAGCTCTCAATGATAACAGGAAGAGTCGGCTTCATGCGAAAGAGAACAGGGTCCGAATCACCTTAGGAGGCTCACAGAACAGGAAGACACTCGTATTGGGCCAGCTCCGTGGCCTTGTGGTTAAGGTAGCTAGGTCCCACAGGGCCGACTATGTGGTCTGAATCCCAGACCTAGTGGTTTGACACACATGCTGGGAGCATGTGCATGCGAAGTGCTCCACATCCCAACATGGCGGAGAAATGGAGAGGGGGCTGCAGCGTGACCACGCCCTGTTCTGGGGTACATTCTCCCTCTCCCTGTCTGTCTCACTCTCTAGTGAGCTCACATTCCCTCCAGCAAATTAAAATCAATAAAGACACTCACATCTCTGGCTCCAGTCAGATGTGTGACCTGAGGAAAAGCCTAAATCTTCTAGTCCTCAATTTCCTCACTTGTGAATCGGGGCACAAATTAAGTCACCTTTAGGCTTTCTCCCAAGCAAAGTACTTGTGTGTTTAGTATGAATCTATGAGCTGTCTTCCCTGGAAATTTCTGGAGATGGAGGAGGTCCCCATCTACCCCGGGAACAAGCGAGGACCTGTCCGTAAGCAATGAAGCAGCTGCGTGGTGCTGGAGAGGGAGCACGCGTTGTACGAAGCAAAGGCTGAAAGCTACAGGCAGCGGAGGGTGATGAGAGTCAACGGAACTCACTGCGTTGGGAGGTCCACAAGGGGGTGAACTGGCACAGCCTCAGAGATGAATCCCACGGGACCACGGCAGGCTGAGATCTAGCCACCGCCCCCACCCCCCCGACACACTCAGCTGAGAGAGGGTGTGGGTGAAAAGAAACACTCACGTTCGTCCCCGGAACTGTGCCGGCTGAGTGAAGGGCATCTTTGAGGTGGAGAGGAGAAGCACGACCCAGAGCCAAGCTCTGGTGCAGAATGGCCGCCACCATCATGGGATTCTATATCGTTAGAAGAGTAATTTCGAATCTATAGACTTTTTTAAACATTCTAAAGTTTAATAGTTTACTTCCAAAAATATACAAAAGTGAACCAAACTTTTCTTTATGAGAATATTAATAATGACCTTAAAAGTATAACCAGCCTCCACATTCACAAGAGTGACCTTTGCAGGGATGCAAACAAGCCTGTCGGGGAGGGAAACATCCGGTGCTGGGGGCTCAGCCTTTTGCTTACATTTCAATCCTTCAGCTTCTCAGGAGGGCACCCACATGTTTCCATGTGTGTCTGGTGCTTTGACATAAGGAATGTTCCAAATCCATGGCCGATCTAGGGAAAAATACACGTTATATAATATTGGTTTGGACGGGATCACAGAACACGTACTCATCCGATGGAGCATCCGCGTACCTGATCCTCTAACCCGATGGGGTAAAAGCACTCGTGTACCTGATTCTCTAAGGTTGAGAAGAACGTTTCCTGAGCCAACCTCAGACGGCATGCCCCTTTGGACAACGGCCTCCGGTAAAGGCTAATGTTTGAATAAGGTAGGTGAACACAGGCAAGCAGAAAGCCAGGGGCAAATCCTGGCGCTGCCACTTACTGGAACACCGCCACATCACTGTGCGTTGGAACCCGTTTCCTCGCTGGCATCTCGGTCATGAGGATGAACTGAGAGAAAGCCATCAGCATGAGAGATACCGCGTCTGCACACAGAGCAGGCCCAACGAGGGCGGCTACTCCGTCCTTCTGTTAAGAAGCTGAAGGCACTGGTGACAGCTAGTCCTGGCTAGGGCCACCTTTCTGCTCTCAGCTGCTCACACATGAACAGGAGGCCCAGAAGCAGGGCCAATCAACAAATGTTTTTTTCCTGCTGTTAAAGCTTAGTAGTTGATGAGACATGAAGATCTCTGCAGGAGTGACCGCAGACCATCATGCCCAGGTGAGGTACCACGGGAAGAATACCGAGGACCTATGTTCAGAGCCCGCCTCCAGCACGCTCAGCACCCCGGGGAAAGCACTGGGGTTTCAGCTTCTGATTCCTACTCTAGGGGAGGGGAATTAACCAGTTTAGCAACCACCAGGCATCAGCTTAAATGAGAGACCAGTGAAAGCTCCTGGTAGGTTATAGGCGCTCGATAAATGAGAGCTTTCCTTCCTCTTTCTTTTTATTTATTTATTTTTTTTGGGGGGTCTTCCTCTTTCTTTTTATTTATTTATTTATTTTTGGGGGGAGAGGTTTTTGCTATACGGCGCATGCTCTCACCAGAAAGACAGAGACAGACAGAGAGACAGAAAGTGAGAAATCACCCCCCAGAGGAGATGGCCATGCCGCAATCCCTTCTCCTCCATTCTCCTCTTGGGATCTTGGGTATGCACACACATGCACCAGGTATGAGTTTAAGCCACCGGGTCTGGGACTCGAACCATGGTCGACTACTTGGGAGTCCAGCAACATAGCTATTATAACAGCTGCTAGTCCCGAGAACTTTCCTTCCTTTTAACTGATGCTTTGGGAATTGAAAAAATGTCAAGGAACTGCTTTGACCATATAGTGCTACTGCTGGACTCGAGGCCTTTCAAGCGAACCTTAATACTATGGCAGAGTATAATACACCACGAGGATCAAGGTGAGTCCCCACGATTGTCTTGGAAGTCATACACACAGCAGCGCCTGGAAGGGTGTGTGTGGGGGCTCACTGGAACTGCCACTTAGTGGGTCTCAGATGGACCATGAGGGGAAGCAACGTCTGGGAATGGCAAACATGTCTTCGGGGGAGCCTGTCCCCGTCTGAACAGAGGCAGGTGGCCACACAGGGGACATGGTGTCTGCTACTCCCACCTTGCCTCACATGTTGGGTAATCTCGGAGCCATCCCGCCCACAGCAGCACCCAGAGGACATGCGGGAACGGAATGTGGAAGATGGTAACAAAGGATCAGAACACAGTTTGCCTTCGCCTGTGGGGAGGTTCCGGAGCCTGATTTCTGTTAAACAACCTTGTCAAACAGCCGCAAACCTGGGCCTGTTTTACATATTTCACAAAAGGCTTAGGGGCCAACAGGGATGGTAGACTCCCCGTTGCCACTCGCTGGCCTTAAGGATGTCCTGGCCCTCTTCCACTGGGAGCACCATGCCCTGTGCCTGGATCCATCCTCTCCTGCATACTGCCCTATTGGGGCCCTACTGGGTAACATCAGCTGCATTTTGCTCCTGAGGCAGAGGACAGATTCTTGCTGTGTGAGCGGCTATTAGACCATTCGGCAGTGCAGGATCTGTCATGCGAACCTTTACCAATTAGCTGGTAGTGCCAAGATCCCAGTGCATTCATTCCTCTCCCAAATCGGGCAACGAGGACCAAGCAAGGACCTGGCACTCACCCTGCTGGCAAGTTCCTCACAACTCTGCTTTCTAAGTGTGCAGAATGTCTGCACTGTGGGCTGCTTCCCAGAACGGCTGACAGTCCAGAAAGGAGGGCAGGTCAAACGGCCACAGAGAAGCAAAAACGGTGGTACTGTTTCTACTGTGTCTTTTTAACCATTTCTGCTGGAGGCCGGCACTAATCCTCAGAAGGTCTAGGCGAACTTCCTAAATCACTATGAGAACGAGGTCCTCGAAACACATTCACACACAGCTTTGCAGTACTTGCTGAGGGCTGGCTATCGCTGGACAGGAGAGCCTCAGAGCTTACCACCAGGGAGGCAGACGCATAAGCGGGCATGCCCTGGAGGCGGAGCTCTGACCTTCACCATGCTGTGTGTGTGTGCTGCGCCCACACCCGGCTGACATGAGAACCTCTGGCAGCCTGTCAGAGCACGTTTTCCATGAAAGCTTGTTACAGTAGGTCTGAGCTGGGGCCTGGCAGTATGCGCTTCATCGGATCCCAGAGATGATCCTGATGCAGGGGTTGGGATCTGATGCTGAAGGAGAGGGCACAGAAAACTTTAACAGGAGCAGTACACACCCAGATCTGCACGGCAGCGATGGAGGAGACCAGAACTGGCAGGTGAACAAGCGAGGGCGAGGTGAGAAGCGATCGTAATGGAACCGTGGGGTTGTGAGGATACAGTGAACTAACTCGGGTCAAGTGCTCATGTCAGTGCCGGGTACGTGAAAAGCACCTAAGGAACGTTACCTGCTATTATACAGACTTTCTATAGTCTTTAAGGCTCTCATGAGGGTTGGTTATGTACAAAGTGGTTATATCTCAATTACTGGCTTTAATCGAGCAGCCTAGAAGATACAATAGTACTGATATAAAAGAAAACGCCCTACGATCTCTTGCATGTATCTTTTAAATAAAATGCCTAAGTAACAAAAAGCTAGCTAAACCTTGGGAATCATCCTGCTTGCTGGATGATACTTTTTCTTCTGGAATGGAGGGGTCCCCAGGACATCTCTGAGGCTCCTCTAATCTTTCCCGTTCCTGCTCTCCTACTCCGCTGAAGATAAGGACTAAATGGAAGGGATGGAATCCAGCCAGACCCAGGAGGGAGAGCCCAGGGCAGTCACGGCAGCCCCCAGCTCTAGCATGTGGACTCAGAACTCCAGTTCAAAGAGAAGAAAGGAAAAGAAAAGAGAAGAGAAGAGAAGAGAAGAGTAGAGAACCTCCCTGAAGAGCAGGAAAAGGAGAAAAGACCAAAGTGCAGCACAAAGTCAGACGAGGATGGGGGGGTACCCTGCCATCAGTCTACTGACGGTGGCAAATTTAGGGACTGACCTGCACGAGCCTTAGCCTTTTAAAAATCGTCAGCTCACTAAGGGAAAGTGGAAGGAGTTCACACCAGCTCACTGTCCATTATATGCTAAAATCTGAACTAGACATTTTAATACAATTATGATAAAAGCAGCTAACACTGACTAAGTGAGAGGCTAGTACTAGCACTCGCAGATATCATTTCAGCTCATCTTTTAATAGCCCTATGAGGCAGGCACTCACAGTTTGCTCATTTTTCAGACAGAAACACTAAGGCCTAAAGTAATTAACTATCCACAGTCATTTCATTAGTTACAGAGCTGGTGCATCAACATGGCCTGGGTTTTTATTTCATTAAAAAACATTTTTTTAAAAAAGATTTTTCCATAGGGCACATATACTCACCAGAGACAGACAGACAGACAGACGGAGTGAGAGAGAAAGTGAGAAATCACCCCACAGAGGGGATGGCCATACTGCAATCCCTTCTCCTCCATTGTCCTCCTGGGATTTTGGGTATGCACATACACGTGCCCAGCATGATTTTCAAGCTGCCAGGTCTGGGACTTGAACTGCAGTTGGCCATGTGGGAGTCCAATACCTTAACCATCATGCTATCTGCTGGCCTCAACATGGCTTGTTTTGTTTCTTTTCTTTTGTTTTTTAAAGAGATCTTTGCCTTAGGACGTGTGCACCAGAGAGAAGGAAGGAGACAGAAGAAAGTGAGAAATCACCCTGCAGAGCAGATGGCCATACTGCAATCCCTTCTCCTCTATTCTCCTCCTGGGATCTTGGGCACGCACACACATGCACCTGGTGTGAATCTCAAGCCACTGGGTCTAAGACTTGAACTGTTGTCAGCTATGTGGGAATCCAACAATGAAACCACTACGCCATCTGTTGGTCCTCCCATGGTCTGGTTTTAAAGCAGGATTTTCCTTTAATTTTTTTTTTTTTTTTTTTTTTTTTTTTGGTGGCAGAAGGGGTGATCACAGATTCCTTGTAATTCTGATAAGACATATAGAACCTTGCTAGGGAACAGGGAATAAGATGCATATGACTACAAATTTAAAGGTCTCAACAGGACTCCATGTGCTTTGGAAAGAAGACTGGCTCTGAAAACTCAGTATTGACCCAACTGGTTAGAAATACTGGGATTTCTTTCTTTCTTTCTTTTTTTTTTTTAGAGACATTTTTGCTACAGGGTGCATGCACTTGCCAGAAAGACAGAGAGAGACAGAGAGACAGAAAGAGAGAAATCACCCCCCAGGGGGGATGGCCACGCCACAATCCCTTCTCCATTCTCCTCTCGGGATCTTGGGCACACATGCACACGCGCCTGGCGTGAGTTTAAGCCACGGGGTCCGGGACTCGAACCGAGGTTGACTACATGGGAGTCCAGCGACATAACCATTATGCCAACTGCTGGTCCCGACCCAACTGGTTAGAAAAATACAAAGCCATCTGCAAGAGGCCAGCTGGCCTGCGTGAGGCAGGATCACCTTTGTCAGATGTATCAGTACAACCTGAGAAGTGGGTCCTTCAGAAGGGAGAGGTTTGGGTCATCACAAAAGTCACAAAGGTACATGAAGGTGGGGAAGTCGCCAGAGCCCTTCCAGCATTGTCTGGAGAAGAGAGCCCCCCACTTGGCAAGGCTGACCCTGTGAAGGAACTGAAGGTTTCATGATGTCACCAGAACGTTCTAATCAGAAATCACATCTCCTCTGTTCAGATTCAGTACTGGCTTAGAAACCTGCAGATTATAATGAGGTGATTTGTGTAGGACTCCACCTTCCAAGGGAGAATACACTGGTCATGGTGATGGGAGCATGTGCCATTTACACGAGGAAGTGCGTCCTGACTGTGGATTTAACGCCGTGTGAGTCTGTCGAGGATCGCTCTCCCTCAAAGACAGACACTCTCAGGGCTGACGGCAGTGGCGCAGCAGCCTGTGAGGCTGGGTCATACCAGGATGAGGAGGGGCCCTGAGCCAGCAGGTCTTCCTCAGAGGACACGTGAACTTGCTGCAGATATTCCTATTGACCTGCGTTTCTGTCCTTTTTCTAATTGCCAGAGGGTATTTGCTCACTAGAGATAAGAATCAAAGAGATAGAGAGGAAGAGAATGCGCTTGTCATGAGGCATGGCCTTGCCACAATCCCTTTTCTTGCATACCTCCATCCTGTGGGGATTTGGGGCATGCATGCACATGCCCTGGTGTGTCTCTCAAGCTGCCCAGGCTGGGACGTGAACCAGTTGGCCTTGTGGGATCTGAATGCCTTAACTACTAGGCTATGAGGCTGGCTCTTCTACTGACTTTTTATTGTGAATAATACTTGGTGACTGCCCTTAATAAAGTCATAGTCTAGTGTAGCAGTTTTCAAAATGTGGCCTAGGGACTTGCCCTCTGGGGGTAAGGGATGAGTCTATAAGTCAAACTTATTTTCATTCTAACACTGAGCCATCATCTGTTGTTTTCGCTTTCATTCTCACACAGTACTCAGAGGCTACCTGACAGTATCACAGCAGACTCTGAGATAGAGCTATGAGAATTCTTTAAGCCGCACAATGAAGAAGCTTGCAAAATCCAAATAATGCCACTTTCCTCCTCTTCCATTTTGCAAACAGCCATAAAAATGTTGGATGGGTTTATTACTGTTATTTTTAAAACTCATAAATCAATAAATATTTTTTAAAATTCTCACATTTAATTTCTTACAAAGTAATACCAACAGATATAAAACCCTACATACATAAAAGCTTTTTGTGGTTCTCAGTAATTATGAGTACAAAAAGGTTTGAAGACCACGGGTTTGAGAACTGCAACTCCAGTAGCTCCAGATGAGGTGGCAAAGAGGCCCCTGCAAACCTGAGCTTCCAGAGGGTTACACCAGCCAGATTCATGCTGAGGCTTCTCCAGGGCTCTGTTTCTATCACAGTCTATCCACCCACGGTTGCTTTTATCTTTTTTTCTATCTAAAATGTGTCAGAGGGTGTGTGTGCTTGCTGGAGACGGAGAGAAAGAGAAGCAAGGAGAGAAAACAGCCCCCACCCCCCGCCCCGGCTCCCATTGTGAGACGGTCATGCCGCAATCCTTTCTTCTTCATTTTCCCTCTTGTGATTTTGGTCATGCATGCACACATGCCCAGTGTGTTTTTCAAACTTCTGGGCCTGGAACTCGAACCAGATAGTTGGTTATGTGGGATCCAGCTGCCTTAATGCCCATGCCACTGACCAGCCCGTGGCTGTTTTCATCTGTCTTACCTTTATGTCCGTACAGTTCTGGAGGAAGATCATATGGCACAGGAAAGGAAGCTGTCGGCCCATGGCTGCCAGAGAAGAACTTCTGTTTCACTTTGAAGCTATCCAAGCCCTGTAAGCACAAAGGGAATATGATTGTAAACTATTTAATTTTTAAAAGTTTTATTATAAGTCACATTTTCATTGGAGAGAGACAGAGACAGGGAGAAAGTAAGAGAGCACCCCCCCCCAGGTGGGATGGCCACACCACAATCCCTTCTCCTTCATTTTCTCTCTGGATTTTGGACATACATGCACACGTGGCTGGGATGTTTTTCAAGCCACTGGGTCTAGGACTTGAGTGTATGGTTGGCCACATGGGATCCAGCTACCTTAACCACCACGCCACTGGCTAGCCCTGCACCCTATTTTCTTTTCTTTCTTTTTTTGAGAGTTTTTTTGCTATAGGGCGTGTGTGCTTGCCAGAAAGAGAGCAAGAGAGACAGAGAGACAGAAAGTGAGAAATCACCACCACCCCGCCCGGGGGGATGGCCACACCGCAATCTCTTCTCCATTCACCTCTTGGGATCTTGGGCACGCATGCACATTTGCCTGGCGTGAGTTTAAGAAACCAGGTCCGGGACTCGAACCATAATCGACTACACGGGAGCCCAGCGACATAGCCATTATGCCAACTGCTGGTCCTCCCTGCTTCCTATTTTCTTAAACAAACAAACAAACAAACCACTCAGAAGAGCTCAAGAAGAAATTGTATCTTTATGACACCCACAAAACTCAAGTTATCTTCCAAATTCGACAGCTAAAAATAAGCCAACTTCAAAGAGTTCATGGAAAATGGAATTAAAGTACAAGTATATTTTGGTACAAAAGAGTTTTAAATCTGTTTAAAAGTTTTAAATCTCTATATATGTATATATATCCGAAAATTATTTTCCTTCCTAAAAAACAGATGTTAAATTTCAGGAATCAAATCACAGCAAAGTTTGTAAGAGTTTAACAAATTATATAAAGAAATGAGAAACAATTTTGGATATTACAATCCCTTTCTATGTACAGTTTACAAGGACTTTATAGAACTCACTGTGTAAAAATACCTCAAAACACTTTCACTACTGCTATAGTAGCAAGCGGCCTGCTTTGGAATAAAAGTTGCTTTCATGTCTAATGAGTAACGTAATAGGCTGGTCGAGCAGAACAGGTCCATCCTGGCGTGCCAAGGCAGAGGGGGCTGCAGCATGGGAGGGGCTGGGGGTAGGGGAGGGCAATGTCCAGAGGGTAAGTAGAGCTAGACTGGAAAAGGCTATGACTAGGAGGCTGTGTGGACATCCGTGGTGCAGACCTGTTCCAGGCTTGTTCACTAGCTGATGTGACTCGGGACAGGCACATGACCGAAGACAGAGGTGCTGGGGAAGACACTGTCTTTCTGCCTGGGAGCTGACCTGGTACGGTGTGATTCTGGATTGCTGTCCGCCAGATGCAGGGGGACCTCAGAAGCACTGAGCCCTGAAGACGTGGCCGGAGCCCCTGGGCGCCCCCACCTGCACATTAGTGTGAGTTGATTATTACTATAACCCAAAGCATCACAAGACTCCAGTTAAAGGTGTGACCTCTGGGAGCCACAAGGTGGTGCAGCTGTAATACACGATGCTCTGTGAGGCTATCCCACGTGGGAGGGTTCCTGGTTCAAATCTGGACATCTCCCTGAGCACACCAAGCACACATGCGGCTGAGATCTGGGGCTGGCTGAAGCTGGAGGTGGATGTGGAATCAAAACTCTGTTGGGAATGCTGTCTCCCTCCCCTTCTGTATCTGTCTCTTATTCATAGAAGAAATAAAAGAACAGACTTATAAAAAAGAGAGTGTAGGGTTTGGCAGGTAGCATAGTGTTTAAGGCACTGGACTCCCACATGACCAACCATGGTTCAAATCCTGGACCTGGTGTCTTATTTGCTTACTCTCCCTTTCTCTCTCTCCCCCTCCTGCTGGGGAGGGGTCAGCAGGTGACATGTAAGTTAAAACAGCTTGATCCTACATGGCCGATTCTGCGGCTCTAGCCCTGGACCCATCAGCTTGAAAATCATGCCCAGGGCATGTGAGCCAAAAATCCCAAGAGGAGGACTGCTTGCAGCAGTCACCCCCTCAGAGGTGATTCCTTACTTTCCCTGTCTCTGTGACTCTCTCTCCAGCAAGCACATGTGCCCTACAGCCGAAAAAAAAGGTGTGGCCTTCCAGCAACAGGCAGAGGAGCTGCAGGTTTTGAGTTAAGGTGGCTGACACTGGAGAAGGGACGGAGGAGACCAGGAATCACTGCAACGTAGCAGGAACCGGTTACAGAGAGGGGCGCTGAGAATCACAGCGGAAGTTTAAATGTAAAGTAAGGTCATTTCAGATGAGAGTGGAGTCCATGGAAATAGGGAAAAGGTTTAAAAAGAGAGGGGCTGAGGAGGAAGAGAGCTGGGCACCCCAGGCATGCCAGCTTGCTCCCTCCTACACTTCCTCTCTCTGGGAGGGCCATGGGGCCGCCTCCTCAGCTGACAGCACTGGGAGCCTTGCCCACATCTGACCTTGGACTCTCTGGATCTGTGGAAACTTCATAATCCCGCTTTTGTAGATTACTTACCTGCTGTGTGACTCTAGGCAAGATATTTTTTTTTTTGCCAGAGGGTGTGTGCACTCGCCAGAGAGACAGAGAAAGTGAGACAGGGTCACGCTGCAGTCTCTAATCCCTTCTCCATTCATTCATGCACACATGCCTGTATGTCTTCAAGCTGCCAGGGTTAGGATTCAAACTGTGTAGTTGACCTTGCGGGATCTGGCTCCCTTAACCACCGGGCCACGGGCTGGCCCCATAGGTAAGTTACTTCACCTTTCTGGGCTTTGGTTTCCTCTTCCATTAAATGAAAGTAAAAACAGCACCTAACTCATGGGGCTACTGTGAGGATACGCTAGTTATTTACAACAATGACTGGGGCATGGTAAGAATTCCAGGAATGAAATTGGTATAGCATATTCAGGGTGTTCTCTGATGTAACTTTATTCCGAATTTACAGAGCAGGAAACACATCTGGAGGTTAAATAGGTGCCCAAAGCTACAGAGCTCCAAGTGGCAAGGACATCGAACCCTGCCTTTCTGATTCTCGGGTCTACTTCTTTCCACTCAACAGACAAATGGTGTCACATTCACCATGAGGAAAAATTCTGAAAATTGAAGGGTCAATATTTAGGCAGGCAATGATAGAATGAGTGAAACTCTGAAAACCTTGGTATTTATATTTTTAAAAAATGAGGCTAGAGGTTGGGAAATTTGCTTACTCTCCCTTTCTCTCTCTCCCCCTCCTGCTGGGGAGGGGTCAGCAGGTGACATGTAAGTTAAAACAGCTTGATCCTACATGGCCGATTCTGCGGCTCTAGCCCTGGACCCATCAGCTTGAAAATCATGCCCAGGGCATGTGAGCCAAAAATCCCAAGAGGAGGACTGCTTGCAGCAGTCACCCCCTCAGAGGTGATTCCTTACTTTCCCTGTCTCTGTGACTCTCTCTCCAGCAAGCACATGTGCCCTACAGCCGAAAAAAAAGGTGTGGCCTTCCAGCAACAGGCAGAGGAGCTGCAGGTTTTGAGTTAAGGTGGCTGACACTGGAGAAGGGACGGAGGAGACCAGGAATCACTGCAACGTAGCAGGAACCGGTTACAGAGAGGGGCGCTGAGAATCACAGCGGAAGTTTAAATGTAAAGTAAGGTCATT